GAAAAGATTTTTCACTCTCATGGGAGTTGACCTTCTAGTGGAGAAGATCGATAGTAAACAAGTAGCCAATTCAATATATTATTTCAGACGGTGTTATGAAAAAAATAAACAGAGTAACTGAAGTGTTTGGAGATATCCAGGAAGACCTCTCCAAAAAGGTAAAACGTGCTCCCCAGATGTGCAGAGGTCCCAGAGGAGAACATGCTAGGGTGGATGGAGCACACTGAACGATGCAGAGAGTTGTAAAAGTCTGCTGGCAGGGGCCAGATCAAGTTGAGCCTTGTAGTTTGAATCTTATTTTAGTCAATGGAAGGCCACTTGAAGATTTTAAGCAGCAGAGTGATATGATCTGTTTTATGTTCACTTGGCTGCTATGCTGAATAGATGTAGGGAAAAAGAATGCAAATAGAAAGACCAATGGGGAGTACTGCAGTCCAGCAAAATAGGATAAATGTTTTAGGCTAAACACATAGGCACAAAAACACTTTCCATATACATTCAGGAGGAAGAACCAAAGGACCTGCAGAAAAACTGAACAAGACTCTGAGGAAAAGTCAAGGTTGAAGATACTAATTTGTAAGTCACAAGCATTTATGTTTACTCCCCAGCTCTCTCCTAAAATGTCCAGGACATTTCAAGGGCTTGCTGGAATGTTGACCTGAATGCCCTATTGGAATCTCCAACTCAAATGGTCTAAATCAGAATTCATCACCTTCCGACATAAAGAAGTACCTCTTCCTTATTTAGAAGGAATTTCTATTATTGGTACCACCATTCACCCAAACTTAACATACTCTAGACTTTGTCCTCTCCCTTTCCCTCCCAAACTTAACACACTCTAGACTTTGTCCTCTCCCTTTCCCTCAACTTCACCCCTGAAGTATGCAAATCTAATCTTTGAAATACTTCTTGCATTCACTTCCTCTTTTCCATCCCACGCCACAGTCTCCAATTCACCCTATACCCTGTTGCCAAATGATCTTCCATTGAATTGGGTACAAACTCCTCAATCTGGCCTTTGAAGCCCTCCTAATGCAGCTCAAACAGCGATTCTGGTCTTTCAGCAAGCTTTCTAACATATGGCCTACTAATGAGCCAAACTGACCTGTTGTACCCCTAACCTACCTCATGCTGTCTCACCTCTGTACCCTTCCTCCTGTTTCCTGTGAAATGTACATTCTCTATGCTCTTCACCCATCAAAAGCCTACTCATTCTTCAAAGCCCAAGTTAAATGCCACCTCGTTCATTAAACTGATCTTGCCTTCCTCTATATGTGATCTCTTCTACTTCTAAACTCCCAGAAAGGCTGATTGTAATTTTCTTATGGTTCTTACCACGTAAGACCTTGCATCTGAGCATTATGGACATCTGTCTTATCTCACATACCAGTATCCTGTATGTTCTTGGCACACAGAAACGATGAGTCATCTTTCCATTTCAAACAGAAACTGCCACAGGATCCTGCACTCAGTAAACACCCCATAAATATGTGTAAATTTTCACAAACTTCTAACAAAACCAACTCCTACTTTAATTAAGGTCACAAAGCACTTAAAATCTGCTTTGGGTTTGTAGTATATTGATATTTAAGCAGGCAATGTGAGCATATAAGCCTATAAAACAAACCTCCAACTTTAAGAAAGGAAAAGAGTCTACCGACTAAGGGAGCATAGTAGAAACTGAAAAAATGTAAACCAAACTCACTTCCTTTTCCTGGGCAAGTCTTAAAATTTCATCCAGTGTTACAAATGTATCATTTCCTCTGACTGCATCTTTCTCCATAAATCCCAGATGAATATCTGTTGCAACTAAGATTTTAAATGTATTTTCATCATCACTATATAAAAAAAGAAGAAACATTTCAATATAATTCATTAAAAGATGAATCAAGAAGATTAAAACCTAAATTTAGAAGATATATAATAGTTATACAGTAAAATCACTTTTCTAGCTTTTAAAATAGGTCTGAAAATTTGAAGCATTCAACAGATCTTCAATGTTACATAGTTTGCCTACACCTAATTCAAAATAGAACAAACACTCGTGAACTTTAAAAAGATTCTGTGACTCCTTTCAAAAAAGTATAACCTTATTACAACTCCAGTGTTACACACTCCTTTGGACCCTGGACCTAAAAACTTCATTGTTTTCCAATTCTGTTCCATCCCGAAATCCCAAAAGGATTTGACCCTGTATCTAAACTTGCTATTTATCTATTTTGTACTCTTCAAGGAAAATCAGAGTTGACTGTTAATTTAAAAAGCCTTCTTACTTTATAAGTAGATTTTGTCCCAATAAACTAGTAACTCACATTCAAGCCCCTGAAGACACCTGCTTGATTCTATTCCCTACATAAAGTTAGTGTTTCATTAGCAAATCTGGCCAAGTAACAAAACAAATTTACAATTCCATCTGAATTTGGTAGTATCCAAAGGTACTCTCATGTGAAGCAGCAATGTAGTAGTTATTAATACCTTCTTCAGTTTAATGTAACTTTTAACTTTCTTTAAAATACTTGGGGCAGCTGGGTAGCTCAGTTGGTTAAGTGCCTGCCTTTGGCTCAGGTCAGGAATGTATTTCGGGGATCCCTGCTCAGTGAGAAGCCTGCTTCTCCCTCTCCCTCTGCCCCTCCCTCCCACTCAAGCTCTCTTTCTCAAATAAGTAAATAAAATCTTTAAAAAAAATTAAAAAAACCTTTCTTTAAAATACTTATGTATCTATGAACTCTTCTCAACTTCTACATGTAAAGAAGTAGGTATTATTATCTTTGAAAAATGAGAAAACTAAACAGAGAAATTAAGTAATTTATCACACAAATAAGTGGAAGAAACAGGATTTAACCACTCGGTCTATTTTCACTAAACCATAATGAACTTAAAACAACTTTCAGATATATCTCCAAAATTGAAATCTTTATATATGAGATTTTTCCAGGAAAGATTTCTCTTCAGAAACTTCAAAGATGAAATATATGCACAAGTTCTAACTGCTACACACACACCGGCTGATCAGAATACTTTCAAAATCACATTACCCTATGCTTCCACAGCAATTTATAAAATATTTTCAAGTGAATTCCCTCATTTAAACATCTAAATTAATCTGAGAAAGGCAATTTTGTTCCAATTATATACATAAAGTGAAGAAATTGATGGAAGGTTCAGAGAACTGCTAACTTGCCCAAGGTCACACAGTATTAACCAAGGAATTGAAATCGGGGTGCAACACTCCAAGTCTAAAGCTTTTTCCACATAACTTCTGATTCTTTTATTGATTTTCATTTTACTCAAATTCATTTCCAATTTATTCAACACTAGAGCAATTTACTACTCTAAAAATCTGCTTAAACAGGCTTGCATTGACCAGTGTGACTTCCCAACAAAAGTTCAAGAATATTGAGAGCTTCAATATTTTAAGACAAAACCTAAGAATATAAACTTATATACTACAGTAATATACCAAATTACTGCAAGGCCTCAATCTATAGCTATATATTATCTTTTAGTTAGCAAACATATATTAATTTTTTAACATTCTAAATACTCTTTTTGATGACTAACATTTCTGTTCATAGGCAAGCTATTTACTGCTAATTTTTTAAATAAGTTTTCGTTCATGGTGATCATAGTTGATGGGCTTTAGGAATCCAAAGCAACAAAAAATATCCCAGAAGACAAGTTCTTACAGGGCATCCGCAGGACTCATTTTTATGGTCAGTCCAGCTCCTCTGGAACCAGTTTTCTCTCCAAGTACTCCTGGGTCGTGTGATCAAATACGTCAGAAAACTCACTCGATTCCAAATTCTAGCAAATTCTAAAAGCAAAATTACATTATTGTAAAACATACATTCTTTTAAAAAACTACCAATTTTAGGAATCTCATTTTCATCTACGCACCTACTATATTTTTATTTTTTAAGGGCTAACAATAGAAAATAGCCTATCTCCAGTACCATCTCAGTTTCACCATTATGATTAAACTATTGGAAACTAATGTTTATTAGATAAATGGACAGAGACACATACAGCAGTTCTGGTTTAGCACACAAAACAACTCTGGATGTGCAGAAATGTTTTAAACAGCATGCACAGGCTACCCTGGAGCGTCGAGAAAATCCCGTAATTGCTGCTCAACCACAGGATTGTTTAAAGGAATGGTTCAGTTTAGGAAAAGAGAAGGGCCCCACCTTTAAAACTAGTGTAAATAAACAGAAACACGTGCTCCGCAGAGAAGCGCCCTGCGCCCGCAAGGCAAGTGGAAATGGCCAAGATATTCCGGGAACCCGTTCCACGTCCGGACTCCCGGTTCCTTCCAGATTCTAAGCCTCAACACACCACCCCCACCCGCAACTGGACAGTCTGAAGCCAGAATCAGAACCCTCTAGGGCTTAGCCGACCGGTCCCATTCTTTCCAGAGAGTCAATCCACTTAGGGCTTCCACCCGGGATCCCACAAAATAGGAGGCGGTACGATTCCTAAATTACCCCACACCTACACTCTCCAAAGCCCCCGCACCAGACCCCCAGGCTATCGTTTACCCGGGAAGAAGGAGGGGGATTCGTGAGAGAAGAAGCAACAGCACCTCGAGAGCCTGCACGTAAGAACCTGCCGGGCCATAAACCTGAATTAGGCGGGAGAGGAGGAAAAAAAAAAAAAAAAAGGGCAACTCATTCTCTCGCGATACCTCATCGATGACGCAGCGCTTCAAGTCTTCTTCGGCTCTCATTGGCTGCCGAATGCCGTGAGCGAGCCGGGAAAGTAGCGGCGTCGCCCCGCCCTCAAGCAGGAGCCAATCCTGAGAAGCCGAGGGACGACCCCGGAAGCGAGGTCCGCGATAGAGATGTTTCCCTTCTTTAAGGTGGGTAGCTCTTGCTTGTCCCGGACCGCGCTCCATGATCCTCTCGCGCCACCTAAAAACTACTGGGCCCTTGGGGGCGGGTCACTTGTCGACCCCGAATGAGCCCGGCAGTTCGGGCCGCGTCGTGGATCCGGGGTAGGGCTGGAGCGGCTTCTGCACTCTTGGCTGTTTGGAAGGCCGCAGGCGCGACTGCGGGCCTGGGAAGTGACCAATCGGTGCCAGAGGGCCGGGACTGGGGGCCTTCTCCCTCACTCCCACTCCCCAGAATTAGCGTATTCTGACCCTTTTTTTCTCTGCTCCCCCTTATTTTCACCCCTGGATCCCGGGTTCAGCACATCTGTATTGCTTTGTGCTGATAGCAGTAAAATATAATACAGTAAAAAAATAATGTGAAACTTTTGAATTAGAAAACTTGACCTTTTAGTTCCACTGAAGCGTCCCTAATCTAGGGCAGGTTGTTTTATTCCGAAGTTCGGCGCCTTCACCGGTAAAATGGGGTTTATGACCGCATCTGTCACTGAGTTATTTGTGAGGCGTTGACATAGTTTAGATCTCTGTCGAAATCTGTTCTTTTAAACATACCCTATTTCTTCTTGGTTGAGGACCATCGAGTAAGAATCTTAATCGATTTTTAAAAGTCCTGAATCGGAGATGCACCTAGGTTTGACTCTTTAAATTAAATCATCTAAAATTAGAAAAGAAATTTTATATGTGAGTTATTGTATCTGGAGCACTAAGTTCAGAATTTATTTTAAAAAGTGGGGGGAGTTTTTATAGAAAGGAAAGGGGAGGATAAAATATGTGCCTTATTGTTTCTGTATTTGATATAATTAAATGAACTTTATGGTATCTGTTCAAAGTGTTTAATGAACTGATGTATGATCATTTTTGTGTTGCAAGGTTCAGGAAATAGATAATAAAGAAAAAAATAAGAACCCCAATGGGAGTTCCTACATACAGATCACAAATACAGAGAACAAAGTGGTGGTTACCAGAGGGGAGAGGGGTGAGGAGATAGACAAAATAGGTGAAAGGTTTGAGGAGGTACAAACTTCCAGTTATAAAATAAATAAGTCACAGAGATGAAAAGCACAGCATAGAGAATATAGTCAACAATACAGTAAGTATAGTCAGTAATACAGTATGCTGTGGTGAGCATTGAGTAATGTATAGAATTGTCGAATCACTGTGTTTGTACACCAGAAACTAACACTGTATATCAACAATTCTTCAATAATAAAAAGTGAAAATTCCAAAAGAACTAATAAAAGATAAAGTAATTCCGATGGGTCTCAGTAGACTCTGAAAAGCTGGGAAGAACCTGGAAATCCTTTAGTACGGTCATTACATTTTATAATGAAGTAACAGGCCCAGAGACGCTATTAGTCATAAGTGATAAATTTAAACCTAAGGTTAGTACTTTTGGCACTAGTAATAAAATCTAATGCCACATTAGGATTGAATACTGTTAAACCTGTGAAATTAGAAAGAAATTAGTATCTTAAGGGAAGACCAACTCTGGAACTTCTCAGTAGCCATTCCAAACAAAATCAAGTGATAGGGTTTTAATTAGATTTAATTCTACAAATATTAATGCCCTTTGTATAAGTAGGACATAAATATAAGTTAAATACAGCCTCTATCCTTAAGCTTATAATCTAAGGAAATAATTAGTGCTGAAATAAGACAATAGGTAGGACAAAAAAGGCTACCAGAGAGAAATCTAATTTGGAAGTTCCAAGAAAGAATGGAAGAGAGAACATCTGAGAAGAGCCTTGAAAGACTGGTAGGATTTCAACAAATGTAATCAGGAGCCTGAGAAATAGTATTTTTAAAAGATATTTATTAGTTATTTGCATTTTTAAAAATTGATTAAGATTTAATAAGCTGTGTAACTCTTTAATACTGGTTTATAAATTAATGTGGCAGCTTAGCTGAATTAATGTCACTTCCTTCAAGAAGCCTTCTCTAATCCTTTAGGACTGTGTTCATTATAACCCTCTTGTATACTCATTGTGTCTGGACAGAGTCCTGTCCTTGCACAGTTCATGCTGTTGTTGCCAGTCGCCTCGACTAGACAATAACTTTCCTGAGGTTAAGACATGGACCTTGTTCATTATTGAATCCCAGTGCCCAAAGACTGGCACAGACCAGGCATTCTATTCATATTTGTTGAATGGTGAATGACAGCTGAAATTCAGTTCAAAACAAGAAGCCAACTAAGAACTATAGCTGTCTATCAATGAATGGGACTCCTTTTTAAAGCAGTGAATTTTCTCAAGCTGAAATTATTAAAGTAGAAATAGGATAATTATTACAGATGTTATAATAAAGATACTTGGATTGATGAGAGGTTTGTACAGATTCCTTGGGGCTATTCCGTCTCTAAGAATTCTTTGAAGTAATTTTTTTTAAAAGATTTTATTTATTTATTTGAGAGAGAGAGAATGAGAGAGAGCGAGTACATGAGAGGGGGGAGGGTCAGAGGGAGAAGCAGACCCCCCGCCGAGCAGGGAGCCCGATGCGGGACTCGATCCCGGGACTCGATCCCGGGACTCCAGGATCATGACCTGAGCCGAAGGCAGTCGCTTAACCAACTGAGCCACCCAGGCGCCCCGAAGTAATTTATTAGAAACTAAAAGTTTTTGTTTCTGCTTTACATCATCTGTGTGTCTAGTTTATAAAAATCGTGAATGTGCCTGTTTTTTAAATTATGGTTTAAAAGCTTTAAGCATTTATCACTCTTAGTATAATACAATAGTATCGAAACCAATAGATTCAGAATAATATAACCATTGACTTAGTAGAATTAAAAAAAAATAAGGAGTTTTAACCATTAAAGGTATAGATAACAAATTTCAGCTCTGGTGTTTAGAGAATGTAAAGACTGCCAATAAAACCAAAAAGTTTAGACAGGGTTTATTGTGTATGTTTGCAAGATTTTGTAATTGATAAACAATTACTATTTTGCTAATAATTTTTGTGTTTGTGTTTCCAGATCTTGATATGGATAAAATAAAGCAGATATAATTCACCTCTAGAAAGATTATTTATACCCTGGCATTTGAAATGTTTTGTATTTAGTGTCATAGTAAAAATGGAAAAAGGGAAAGTAAATGATGATGGAAAACCAGACCCAGAAAATTCTTTGGACTTTTCTGAACACTTTAACCAACTTGAATTGTTGGAAACACATGGACACCTTATTCCCACTGGTACCCAAAGTCTCTGGGTAGGGAATTCTGACGAAGACGAGGAGCAAGATGAAAAAACCGAAGAGTGGTATCAATTGCAAGAAAAAAAGATGGAAAAAGATCCAAGCAAATTGCTTCTTTGGGCTGCGGAAAAAAATCGGGTAAAAAACAAACAAAAACAGTTAAAGAGGAAACCATAATATAGTAGGAAAAGTACTGGATTCAGAGCCAGAAGACCTGTCCCTGAACCTCTATTTAGTTTGTAACTTTGGGTAAATCCTACCGTTCCTGAACCTCTATTTTCTTACCTATAAAAATGGCCATGATAATACCTGTATCTTTTATACAGGATTTGAGGATCGAATGAGGCAATGTCCATGAAAGGACCTAGTAAGTCACAAAGCATCCTATTGGGTATTATTTGGAAATTTAAGGGATAATTATAAAGTTAGCAAGAAATCACCTATATTTTTAGATCATTTATATTAAGTCATTAAGATCATCCTAGGGACAGCTATCATTTAGAAGAGGGAGGATGGGAATTAACATGTTTTGAATATCAACTATACCATGTGCTTTACTACATTATTTGATTTAATCCTCGTATATCCCCACAAGATAAGTAATATTCTTCCCTTTTACAGTTTAAGAAAATGGGATTCAGGAATATCAATTTGCCCAGTATCATGTAAGCAGTATCATCAAATATATTTTTCCCACTCAGCCACTTCTACTTCATTTTACTAAGTTCTTCCATGTCAGTGGTAGTAAATTAATAACTAAAAAGGTCCTGCATTTTTTGGATAACTTTTTCACCCAGGAGCACACTGCATCCCACCAGAGATCCAGAGACCAAACTGAAAATCACTTCCTGAAAACATGTTTCTAAGGTTGTTTTAGTTTGAAGGAGTTGAGCTCCTTAATCTCTAGATTTCCTTGTTACCATTATATTCTTCTGATAAAGAAATTTATTTTTCAAAGTTTTATGCACTATGTATATTGGTGCAATAATCCTGTAGAAAAATCTGTTACCATGTTTTCACTAATGAAGTGTAAAATATTAAATATGATTATAGTCTGTATTATTCATCTAGGACTAAAGCTTATATGCAGTGGGCCTTAATTGGGCCAGGAATAAATGCATGATAGTCATATATTCGATACTGATACATGATTTTCAGAGAGTCACATTCTTAGAAGAAAGAGTGTGGTTAACACTAACTTGTTCATTCTTAAATCTGTGGCCATCTGCCCCCCAAAGAGATCGTAAATCATTTTTATTTTAAAGTCCTCTGCTACCAAGTTTTTATGGAACTTAGAAAAAATTTAACACCACTAGACAGTTTAATTTTCTTCATTTACTGTTTTGGGTCACGTTGGGTTTTGAAAAGATCCCTTTTCTTCTCAGCTTACCACAGTGCGGAGACTGCTGTCTGAAAAGGCCACTCACGTGAACACTAGAGATGAAGATGAATATACCCCTCTTCATCGAGCAGCCTACGGCGGACACTTAGAGGTGGTGCGCGAGCTGATCGCACAAGGGGCAGATGTCCACGCGGTGACTGTGGATGGCTGGACACCCCTGCACAGCGCTTGTAAGTGGAATAATACCAGAGTAGCTTCGTTCTTACTCCAGCACGACGCAGATATTAACGCCCAAACAAAAGGCCTCTTGACCCCCTTACATCTCGCCGCCGGGAACAGGGACAGCAAAGATACCCTGGAGCTCCTCCTGATGAACCGCTACATCAAACCGGGTCTGAAAAACAACTTGGAAGAAACGGCCTTTGATATTGCCAGGAGGACAAGTATCTATCACTACCTCTTTGAAATTGTGGAAGGCTGCACAAATTCGTCACCTCAGCCATGACGGTTCTAATAATTTTCTTAAGTTTCCGAGTACCAGTGCCTCCTTTGTGTGAGATAGGACATATCCCCATGATAGAAGGTTGACATCAAAAGTTTTACGGTAGAACTCCAGTGGTACACAGTCAAATGTCCTTCCAAGTGACATGCCTAACGTTGATGTCAAAATGTATTTGAAAGTTGTTTGGATACATCTTTACTGATCTATGTGCACTTTGTAATTTTTATCAGAAATAATTTTAACACACTTATACTTAAAAACTTGTAACGGGTTGTACAGAAAACTAACGATATTTTTGGTGCTGATCCAAGAGAAGTGTATTTTTAAATCTCCCCCATCCTGGGTCTTTGTGGAGTATTTAGTATATTGACATGTATTTTTATAAGGCGAGGTAACTCAGAATTCAATTTAAAAAACTCAAGTATACTGGTGCGGTGCAGCCGTCATCTCCACGTCACTATGGCCATTTGCTTTCATTTTAAACCGTAAGAACTGACTTACTCGTGACTTGAATTGTCAGAAGTTTAAGAAAACATTGGAAGAGCTTAGATCTTTGTCTTTTAGAGCAAAGTAGTTAGCTAAAGTGTTTAGTCCGTGAATGTAATATACTGCCTCCGCTACCACAGTTCACACAATCCTGTGGACGGTCCTACCTCACCCTGGTCAACCCACGTGATCCTTCTTCCGTCGGTGAGTCGGCATGACCTTTTACACATGCACACAACTCTACCTTGGTCCAAGAGATCATAATGTATCTGCTCGCCAACTGGTTCTACCTGCCTAATCCTGTTTGTTCAGGGCACTGCTCAGATGGTCTCTCTAGTTCACAGGAAGTGTCGATTTTTCCGAGGTTCTCCTTTTATACAAATCCTACAAAGGCAAAGGGACAAGGGAAAAGGAATTCTAAGAGTGAAGGGATGATGATTATACTGGGGCTAGATTATAAGTGGCGCAAGCTTTAAAAAGCCACAGTGTGGATGGTGACACGAGTATAAATATGAATATTCAGAAAAAAATAAAAGCTTGGAACAACAAAAATGGCACCAATGCTTGTTTTTCTTTTTTTTACCAGCACAGATCTTCCTTGGACCCATAACCTATGTATTCATGGAGCATACATTGATTGAGCAACTACTCTCTCAGTCTCTCCAGCAGGAGTTTCTCACTGACTACCTAGCCTCTCTGACTATTCCCAAAGGGATTTTTCTCAACTTCTTAACACCAGAACTGACATGCTATGGGAAGGAAACTAAACCAATGGGCCTCTTCTTCAGTTATATATTCACCAGTGCTTGTCTTTTTGAGCCAGCTCATATGATCCAATCACTCTGGATTAACTAATAATGTTATTTAATCAAATAGGTGGTTTTCGGGTTAAAAAAAACTGAATCAGAAAAGTTAATGTATGAACTGAGTTATCATGACAAGTAGGATTCAAGAATTAGGAGAGCTTTAATTATACTATGATCTCTGGCTAGGAGAGCCTCAGGTTCAGAGTATCAGTGTCTACGATGCAAGGGTTTGGCAGAATGTGTTGAGTCCAGGGTGCCTGGGTGGCTCAGTTGGTTAAGCATCTGACTTGATTTTGGCTCAGGTCATGATCTCAGGAAGGAGAGATGGAGCCCTGTGTCAGGCTCTGTGCTGGGCGTGGAGCCTGCTTAAGATTCTCTCTCTCCCTGTGCCCAACCTCCCCCCCCTGCCAGCACCCCCTGCACATGCCCACATTCACACACTCTTTTTCTCTGTCTTAAAAAAAAAAAAAAAAAAAAAAAAAAAGGCCCAATTTAGGGATACCAAGTGACAGGTACAGCTGACAGGCAGTGACAATAGAATAGGACCCCATCTATCCTAGCAGACTGCTAAACTAGCTACCTGCTTACCTGAAAGTCACAGAGTCCATGGCTCCTTTCTTTGGAATGAGTTGCATCCATGAGTTTATGTAAGCTTTCCACTTAAGTATGGGGCCAAAGAGGCCTCCTTATTTATGATAAGGAGCTGAGATGTGACTACTCCCTTGGTTTCAGGCCATTCAACCAGAGCTGAGGAGCAAACTCCACGTATAAGCAAAATCTCTTCTATCTCTGAGGGCAGAATTTGTATTGTTTGCTTCCTTTGTACTTTCCTTAGTATTTACTAGTGTTTCCTATCCACAGAAGGCATTCACTAATCATGCTTTTGACTCTTTACTTACCTGTACCTTCCAGTTTGCTTTAAGAAGGCTTAAAAAAAAAACCAAAAAACAAAAAACTCAGTTTGCAAACAAAATTTTCTCTAATCTGGGAGAGTTTGTCCAAAGACTTTTTTTTTTAATCTGTTTTTCATAACTCTGGGCTTAATTTTGATTAGCTTATATGCTTAAGGAAATGTGCTTTGTCATTGTTGAAGGAGTGTATCATGATTCACAGGCTCACAGTGAAATGAGTTGGCTTTGCTTTTCTAAATCTTAAATATGCTTCTCCAGGGAGCTTTCTGACCCACAGACTACCACAGTGATGGGATTTAGAGTCTTTATTCTATTGGGTGTAAAAGCATTCATTTATTTCTATTCATTGGTATCTATTAGGACAAAAATCCAAACACCTCCATTCCTGGAAACACTGTTTATGTCATTTTCAAAGGTCCCTTTCAGGCTTCAGAGGTCTCCAACCAAAAGAAAAAGCCCAAGGAATAAGAAAAAAAAACAAAAGGATTTTAGCAATTACAAGGACTGAGAGGAAATCAGTTTCTGAGAGAAAATGTGTTTCCTGTATCCAGGGCTGAGAAGCTGAGAGTGGCTTATTTTTTGTTCTGTATACAGCTCCTCAATGCCTATTACATGAGTTCCTCTTTAAATTCATACCAAATTTTTCCCCCTTTCAGGATGAGTCTTACTAATGTTGAGCAAATGGAATAAAAACACTCATATTTGGTTCATCACTGATTATCCAGTCGATGCTCAGATACATCTAAGAGCCATCATTACGAATTTAATGATGTGGCCAGATTTGCCAGTGGATCTCAGAGGAGCAAGATTTGTAGGCTAGAAAATCCGCTTAATGAAATAAATACAAAATCTAAAAGCAAACTGCCACTTAATTTTTTTTCTTCTCTTCATCGCATATGCTCAGCCTTTCATCTCTATTAGATGTACAGTCTTTGAAAATTAGGCAAACTTCACTGGAGAGTTAATGCAAATTGATAAGGAGCACTGTCTCCTGAGCAGTCACTGGAGTTCCCGTTTTCAGACACAGATGACTTAAACAGAGGCAATTTTTAGGAATCAAAAAGAAAGGGGGGGCACCTGGGTGTTTTAGTCGGTTAAGCATCTGCCTTCAGCTCAGGTCATGATCCCAGGTTTCTGGGATAGAGCCCTACATTGGGCTCCCTGCTCAGCGGGGAATCTGCTTCTCCCTCTCCCCTCCCCCCTGCTCGTGCTTTCTCTCTCAAATAAATAAATAAAATCTTAAAAAAAAAACACACACAAGAAAGTGAACCCGCCCTTCTTTAAAAAATCAGGTGCCTATCCCGTGTTTTCAAACCTCAATTTAATAATTCACGAAGAAAACGTATCCTGATTGAAGGGACAAACCCTAGGACTAAGACACAGCTCTGTTGTGAGAATCATACTAAGACCAGATGCAAAAGTCAGATCCTTCAAGGCACATACCAGAAAAAAGCCCTAGAGTTCAGATTTGCTTTCACATGCTTTTGCATGTTTTTTTATTTAAAGATATGCAAAGCCTATAAGAAGAATCAAAAGGGAGAAAAAGGTATTAGGGTCTTCATCCATTCTTTTCATTTTAGTCTGCACCCTTGGACACAATACAACATACAATAGTTGTATGTCAGTGTTCCTCACATTATTGACATTGGAGCCAAGTAGTTCTTTGTTGTGGGGAGCATCCCGTGCCTTGTAGGATGTTAGGCAGCATTCTTGGCCTTGACTTTGTAGATGCCAAGAGTGCCTTCCACTCCCTGTCACCAGTTGTGACAAATGTGTCCAGACATTGCCAGATGTTCCCTGCTGTATGTAAGGCAGAAGATTTCATAATTTGGCTAGCCTCAAAGTTGTTTAGCATGTAATTAAATTTTATTTGATGTACATTTTTTTATATTCCAAATATTCATCAGTATACATTCAAAAATTAGATCATCACTGATTCTATTTTAAATTTTTAGTATTTTATTAATGAGATTCTTTGAACACATTCAAAAATTGGGATAAAACATACAATAAGAAAAAGAAAACTCTTCAATACTGAGTATCATTGGTAAAAACAGCCCACTTCCTACTCCCAACTTTGGCTTCTAGGAAACTTACTCCTTAGTTCAGATGAGTTTATTTTTAGGGAAATTCTAACTTCTGGGTATTAGTGGGTATAATAATCAAATCCTGATTTTTAATAGGTTGCACTATTACAACTGTAAATTTTTTATTGCATTGCTGGATAAAATGCTCTTAGGTTGATACACAGGCTTTTTACTTTTAGAAGGGATAAGAAAAGCCAACACCTTCTGTCAGAGAAGAATGAAATGAGGAAGGAGCTAGCAGCTTCCCAGTGTAAACAGCTGAGAAAATAGCAGATAATTTCTTAAGGTCTTTACAGATCTAAAATTTTAGTTTGGTACTTAAATATAAAAATAATATTGTATAATTTTTTGGCAATTACTTTCACCTTAAAAATTAATTCCAAGATGAAATGTATCAAAATCAATGTAAAAAAATTTCACATCTGATCATCAACCTTTCCCAGTCATTTTTTTTTTTTAAAGATTTTATTTATTTGACACAGAGAGATAGTGAGAGCAGGAACACAAGCAGGGGGAGTGGGAGAGGGAGAAGCAGGCTTCCCGCCGAGCAGGGAGCCCGATGCGGGGCTCGATCCCAGGACCCTGGGATCACGACCTGAGCCGAAGGCAGGCGCTTAACGACTGAGCCACCCAGGCACCCCCCAGTCATCTTTTATGTAATGCATGAGTGACATAGTCTCATCTGATCTTATTTATAAAAGTTCTTACATGTCCAAGATGTGATACACCAGACCACTGTGATAAGATTAATAGCTAACAATGGAGTGCTTGCTGCGTGCCGTCTCTGCTGTAGGCACTCACTAACATTATCTCATGTGAGCCCCATGATAAACTTTGAGATGCCATCATACAAGTCTCTTCACTTGGGCTTACAGAGGTTAAGTAAATGACCCATTGTCATGAACTATGTTTCCAGAAAGCTCACATTCAAATACAGCTTTTCATCTGTGGTGTCCTTGAATCTTAATATCCATGTACCACCAATTAGTCTGATAAATAATCACAACAAAAATTCCATTTTCTTTCAAATTATTTTATTAGCTTATTTACAGTAGTGTTTGGGGACATAAAAATTACCCTTATTAGGAGCAAATTGCATTTTATGGCATAAAACATTAAGCAATTCCTAAGTCATAAGAGCCAGAGCAATTTTTAAAAAGAACAACAAAGCTGGGGGATTTATACAACCTGATTTCAAAACTAACTATGAACTGGCAGTATTAAGACAGTGCGGTATTGGATAGACACGTAGATCAATAGGAAACAAGAGAATCTGGGAACAGATCCAGATATAAATGGTCAATTAATTTTTGACAAAGTTGCCAAGGGTTGCAGTAGGAAATTCTCTTAAAGAAATAGTGCTGTGTTCCAACTGAATATCCATTTGGGGGAAAAATTAACTCATTTATAGACAGCAGAGCAGTGGTTGCCTGACAACAGGGACAAAAGTTGGATTGCAAAAGGGCAAGAAGAGTCTTTCAGAGGAGATGGAAATGTTCTATATCTTGTTTGTGGTGGTAGTTTTGCAGATGTATACAACTGCCCAAGTCGTTGAGTTGTATTCTTTAAATGGAATGTAGGTTTTTGTACATAAGTTATACTTTAATAAAGTTGATTTTTAAAAGTAGGTATCTAGAGATGACTAGTTTCATCCTTGTGTTATTTTCCATAGCAAGCAAGGGGCATCTGAAAACCTCTTCACTGAATTCTAGGGGTATAACTTTCTGGATGCTGCAGAGTCCTGTGAG